CAGCTGTCTGTTGTAACTCAATCCTATTCAGTCTTTATTTGATTTGTACGCAACTAGTCAGCAAATAAGCATTTGTTTTATTCGATGTTATAATAATACTTACTTTACGGCTTCCGAAATCGATTTCCTCTTTTTTGACAGTAGGATTTATGTAAATTATAAAATAAAAAAAACCGTTTCCCTTACCAAATATAATTTCTTTACTGTTTGTCATACTTAGATTGGCTGAGTAAAGTGCAAGACGTTATGGAAAGTGCGTCTCATTTCTCAGGCTATATGTATAATGTAGTCAGGAAATTAGTTTGTTTGTTTAATTGTTATGAAAAGACATGAACATTACCTGCTACTCGCTGTAGATATCACCACTTTTTTTTGGTGTAATGCATCAACCAACCTGCTGATGATTTTCGAGGGACTAAAGGTTTAGGTGACAATAATGGTCCCAGTGATAATACCTAGTGCTAGACGAGTGCTTTTGTCCCTTTTTTTGTCATAGAAACCCCATTTGCGCCTCCGGGATTTTTATGGCCTATAGCCAATTAATAATTTATCAAACTCGTCCTTAAGGGCTGTCAGAGAGAACCGTAAAGACAAAAAAACATGGATCAATAGGCCAGTAAGTAAAACTAATTTCACTTTCATTTTTATATATGAGGCGTTCGACTATTCTGTAAACTTAGGTAAACATAACATATATGATTTTCATATATTCAAATTCATTGACAAAAAGGAGGTAAATTTTAACCTTGGTCGTTTGGTCATAAAAGAAGTTTTAGAGGGAGAGAGGAACCAAAAAGTCTCTTTAATCATTTCCTTGGATCATCCACATACAGTTTTTGTCGGGAAAATAAAGTTGCAGAAGAAGGTAATAATGGTAAATAATGGTAGTAAATTCACTGGACGTAGAAGTTAAGATGTCGATTACTGTTCGGCCAGCGCCTTTTTTTTTTTGCTGACATGTGTTGGGCCACTTTAATTTTGCCCTCTCTTTCGTTTTTCTGAATTGATCTATTCTCATTGCCATCTCCTTACGGCCACATAACTATCGTGTATCGGCTATCAGCACCGTGACGCCAGTTGGTGTAATTGAATGGTTAAAAACTTGAAAACATAAAAATACCTTGAGCAAGTTACACAAATTTTTACCCAGTACTCGGCTGGTTTTTCAGGGCATTTCTCGTACAGCTGGAACTTTTTAGAACGTTTGTGATGCAAGTGAAACCTGATGAAGTGGATCATATATTCT